AACACTGAAAATATTTAGAAAATGATAAACGGGATAATGTAGAAAGTTTAAATACCAATACCTTTATTGTTTTTCGAAGTAATCTCCGTTCCTCTCTACACATCGTCGCATTCGATGGAACCACTGAGAAAAGCAGTGGGCCCATTCTTCCTTAGGGGTCTCTTCTATGGTATTTTCTTACGCTTTCACCGCATCTTCAGGGCTCGTAAAGCGAATACCTCGAATTTTATCTTTAATTCTTGGGAATAAATGAAAGTCGCGGGGCGCCAGGTCAGGACTGTATGGCGGATGACTCATTATCTCGACACCTGCCATAGTCAAATATTCAACCAACCAACCAACCATCCAACATTCTAGCACAACCGTCGCGAAATGACCTTTCCAACCACAGGATGAGGCAATCATCTTTTTTCCCTGACTTCTCCCTTTCTTTACCTTAGGTGGCCGATCCTCGAAAGGAAACACCCACTGAGCTGATTGTCTTTTGGTTTCGGGTTCGTAGCAATATATCCAGCTTTCATCACCTGTAAAGATGTCAAATACAGCATTTGAGTCACCGCCGTTGAACTTATCTAACATTCCATGTGAAGGTGTTTCTGGTCGTCGGTTAAATTATGGGGAATCCATCTGGTACAAAGCTTCCTGACGCCTTAATGTCCGTGTAGTATTTTTTGAACTTGCCTCATACCAATGCCTAGGCTTGCCCGTATCTGCTGATAGGCCACTCTCTTATCGTCCTCTATCATGCGTCGCACAGCACTGATGTTATCTTCAGTAGTCGCTGTTAAAGGACGTCCCTCACGCGGGTCACAATTGAGTTTGCTACGTCCACGCTAAAACTTATTAAACCAATTGTAAATAGTAGCACGAGATGGGGCTTCATTAATAAATGCTAATCGCAGCCTATCATAGCTTTGTTGTTGAGTAAGCCCACAACAAAAGTCATAATAAATCATTGAACGAAAATTTTCTCGTGTTAGGTTTATTGTCACGTGTAACAAGAGTTTTAGATTTGCCGCCAATTCACAAAAACAAATGACAAATGAATGCAATATACTACATTAGGTTACCAAAAAGTTCTAAAATTTAAATTAAAAAAAAGTTTTCATTGGCAATGTTTCTAACTGGCCAGTTCTAAACATTTTCAGTGTTACCCACGTATAAGAATATATACTGATATTCAACGCGATGATTATAATCTCGTTTTCCCTATGACATTCTGCGAGTGACAGTGAGTAATGTCCACAGATGTGGTTTTGGCCGAATGTTTATTGTATTACGTATTTTATTGCTTTTCTCGGCTTTCTATATATCACTGAGCTTTGACCTACAAACCTAATTATTCCCGGGTGACTCTTTGCCCAATTCCAATTTTAACTTACGAATAGCTAATCGCTGATCTTATGTTTTACTTCTTCACATAATAATTTACGAATAATTTTTTATATATATTAAAAGTATGCAATATAGATAAAAAGCCCTTGAACTGATAAATTTTGTTTTATTAAATAGATTAATATCCGATTTCTCTCTCATATCAAAACTATTGTCAATTACAAAAGCATAATGAAATAAAGGGTGGGAATCAATTTGATTACAACTGGGATTGTCAAATATAAAAATTCTACGTGTATTACTTTCATCTTTTACAAGGCACGAATGCCGTTATTAACTGCTGAGGTGAACATTTTAATATGCGTCTGCGTCTTTGAAAACCAAAGATAATTAAGAGAAGCTACTGAGATTCATTAAAACCGGGGAAATAACAAAGGACCTTTAGTAATAATCTTTTGTTGTTGTTTGATCGTGTGATCAAATCTATTCTCTTTGACAAAATAAGGAAATGTTAGGTTAATGTTGCAAAAACTATGTACCTATTGGTACTGAGTCATAATTCTCATATAATTTTTTTTCTTGTGAGATGTGTTTGTAGTAGTAAAAGAAGAGTTTATAATATATAAGAATAAACATTCTTAGACATAATTTGGTGCAAAATATTTAAATAAAGATTATACATATTAAGTCAACAATCACACATCACAGATTAAGAAGATAAAAACAAAACGCCAATTCCTTTTTTACCGTTATTAATATCAATAAAACCTATATTATATATGTGTGCGATGAATCCCATGGGAATCCAATATAATAATAATTAAGCCTTTATAGTTATTATGGTAATCCAATTACCATTTATTTATTTAGGTAATATATGCAGTTTTGAACCTCAGTAAACAAATAAATGGTTCTAAATTTCCATTCACTGCCAGGTCTCAACACAAGGGCGTAGAACGGACGAACGAAGTTCTACGGCTATAAAATCTCAGTCACTCTTTTGAATCGCTGTCCGTTACTGTTTTTTTTACTATATACGTTATCTATGCTTTCTCAGTGTTTAAAGGTATTCGTTTTCAGCGATTTTGAGGCTGATTTTTTTTTTATGACTTCGTCATGAGTTCTCAGCACCATAACTAGTGTTGTTACGATGGCGTATAACCCTTTTTTACTTAAAAAAAATCTCATAAAAAGTACCGAAAACCGAATCAGAGCACCCCACTATCCACGTGGTCTTGTCTGCCTTACCCCTAGAGTGTATATAAAAATCGGAGGCGCGGAGGAAGAGCAGCCCCCACCCGCTGTAACAAAGCACAGGCATTACGCAAGCTTGAATAAAATGCATGTGCTTTGGTACGCAAGGGTGGAGGGGCTGCATTTCCCGCAGCGCCGGAGCTGTCCAAAAAACAGTTTTTTTTGGTAGTATACGATGTGATACTATGATGCTTTGTTTCTGTTTGTGTTTGGTTTCGTTGTCCCCACAAGTATAGGTGGCCACAGCACTTAAGCTTGTGTGAATACAGGAGAATCAATTCGAAATACTTTTAGCCAAAAAACGTCATGCGCCATCATAACAATACTAGTTATGATGTTTACAGATCATAACGCGACTGTAAAAAAAAACAGCCTCAAAATCGATGGTGGCGTGATACGGAATATTTACCGGAAATAATAAATAACATGTCTTTGGTATATTCATACTCCAAAATAAGATATAATACCATCAGCAAGATAAAAAAGTTCTTAATGTTTGAAACGACCCACCATCAATCCTACCCGACATTTAAGGTCTTCCGTTGAAGTAGGTCAGTCTCTGTCGATCAAGCTATATCTTGTTCTGCCAAGTAATCCTTTGCGTATGTTGAGTCCTGTTGTGCTCTGAAAAACAAGTCATTTTCATAAATTTTTATTAGTTTCAGACTTGCGGAAACGCGCATTTTTTATTAACAGAAGTTGCCGTTCGTTGAAGTTCAAGGTATTTGATGAATCAATGTCTGTGAGTGTGGGAGGGAAGGATCGTGATTACTACAACCCGTTAATTTTATTATCAATCTACTATATCGTGTTCGTGTCAATTTCGACAAATCTGGGAAAGACTGTGCGTCATAGGATATAATAAATATATAATCCACAAGCACATATTTTTATTTAAGAATTTCTCTAGTAAATAGTATTTGCAACCGCCTACATAACAGATGGCGATATTTGAATTCACATTCCAGGCTTAAACATAAATGTATCGTAAACTTTAAATACATTTTACGATACATTGATCCTGAAAATAGCGTGTGACTAATGCCTCTTCTAATGACCTTGTATTTCAACTCTGAATTTGAGCTCAGTTTTACTTATTTAGGTTTAAGAATAACTTTATTTCTCATAAGAATTGCAAACATAATTCACTTACTGAGAAACAATATTTAAAACTAAGATTAAAAATTATCAATTAGAGCGCACAGATGTAGGTACATATATAAAATAACAAAACAAAACAGCACCAAAAATATGGGTAGACATAATAAACTTAATCAGTCAACCAAGCAAAACACAAATGTTCGAATTTGATTTTATACTAGATGTGGCATTGATGACATAGTCTGATATAGCAAGTTATATTGATTATTTTATTATTTTTCATAACACTATTTTATTTTTAGTTTATTGTTATATTTATATATTTAGGGTAAATACATGGTTTATAAAACATTTTTACAAACTAAAATCACTTATAGGCAGATTTTGGTCAATATCAAAATATTATAAATAGATATATCGATAATCGAAAAGAAACAATCAAGTGTAACAACCACATGTGAGGGGCCTCATAGCCTAGCAGTCTTATTAAGTGGCAGCTAGGTGAGGGTACCGGGTTCGATTCCCGGTTCGAGGGCAAGTTTTAATTTAACTTTAATTTTTTCTCGGCCTTTGGGAGGGTTGTGCGGTACCGGGCGAGTGCTTAAACCGTACATGGAGGACACGGTCAAATTTCTAAAGACAAAGCACAAATTATAAAAAATTATATACCTGACGCTGGCTAATTCACAAATCGTGCCAGAGCCATTAAAAAAAAATTCCCAATGTCATGTTGAATTAAAATTATACCAACAGTATGTATCAAACTAATATTATACCTCTATTTAAAATGCTAATTGTATTACATATTTTACATTGCTCCATGGCTCTGAAACCTCTTTAGACTTAATTACGCCTCAAGCAACGAAACTAAGGCAGATTTCTTCAATTAAAGTTTCTTTTGTATGAAAAACGGAAAAGAGGGAACTAAACGTTTCTGAACTGAACTATTAATATTAAATTCTTATAAATAATTTCTTCATGAATTTTTCTCGATAATTGCTAAGAACCATTCACATAAATAGGGGCACAGCGGTTGTATTTTGTTAAAATTGTAATCGTGGAAATATAAAGCTGTCACAAATAAAAACCAACTCTTAAATAAATATAAATTATTTAAGTTATTTATTTCTACTTCATCGGCTGTAACAAATTTATAAGGCTATTCTTAAAGCTTTTTTATGTGATATTGTGAAGAGCTTTCTAGACTTAAACAAAATGTTTGTTTCAGGTTGGAACCATGATTATTTGATAGGCGCTCGTAGTGTACAGTTTAGTGTAGTGCAAGTGATGTGTATGTGAAGTTAGCAGCCATGTCTTCTAGAACGGGCCAACGTGGCCCATCGTTGTCTACGAGCCAACGCAAGCATAGGTCCAGATCAGCACCGCGGTATGACCTCGAGAAGAAACCAAAGAAGAAGGAAGCATCGGGCACTAGCAGTCTGGTCTCCATCCCCAATAGCATTAAATTGACGATGCTTAACAGCGGCCTTATTTCCTTCGGTGAGTAGATTTTCGTTGGCTTAATTTAGTAATATTCAACACACACCTAGTGGCTTTGCTTTAATCACACGAACACCTTTTTTTTTTTTTTTTTAAATTGTTGGGAAATCAATTTACCAACCCCCGCGCCGGGGCAACGATTTAAAAGTGACGCAGGGAGTGTGGGAGTCAGTCCGTATGGTGCAATGGACACCTACCCACTAAAACCCAACAGCCCCATCTGTTCGCTATGGACGGTAGGCGCGGTAACAGTTTCCCTTAATCCGTGCCTCCGTCATGAGCGTCTGCTGTGTGAGCACAACTTCTGCGTTGCCCAATTCTGTGCTAAGGGCACAGTGGAGTACGTGCATAATCGCGACGTCTCCTTCCAGGCCTTTTTTTGCGTTGAGGGTCGGCGTCTGGGTTACACTCCCGAACCCTCTCCGCATTCTCTTTAAGTGTAATGACGGCCTCACAGAACGCTTTGAAAGTGTTCCACGGGCCGTCACTGTCAGCCTCCATCATAGCTTTCACTATGACTGGAAGCGACAGATCCAATCCGAAGGTGGCGGTTAATAAACTACGCTCAGAGCTCCACGCCGGACAAACCTCTAAAGTGTGTTGCGCTGTGTCGTCTGCGAAACCACACTCGTGACAAATGGGGGATGCCTCCCTCCTGGCAACCCTGTGAAGGTATCCACCGAAACATCCATGGCCTGATCACACGAACACCTGACATAACTTTAGATACTCTCTATTTAAATATTTATGTTTAACCTTTATTTAAATATTTAAATTATTTCTGAATTTTAACAATTTTCTGTTTTATTTAACGGTCGTTATTTACTGAAGAGCAACTTAGCTGTTAACCTGAAAAATGTTTAAAATTTTCGTTTCTACTAAAATTTGCATGTTTAACCGGAAGAATCAACGTTGAACTTCGTTTATTTCCAACTGAAATTAAGTTGACTTTAATTAAGCTACCCATTTGCAACATTTTAAACGTGTAGTGACGTAATAGTATTCATGGCCATTTCAACCACTGACCTGGTAGTTTGAATACTACTGTAATACACGGCAATGACATTGTTCTAAAACAGTTTAACATTTAATGTGCTGAACGTTGAAACATTTGCAATGTCAACGGCCGAGCTCGAGCAACAAACAGATGAATCACAAAGATACCAGGAAATAACCTATTTCTAATTAACCCACTTCCTTAAATTGTAAATTATTGCTACTTATAAGAACGATAATCATTTGGCAGTGGTGTTTGAGTTAATATAACGCCCTGCCCGTCTTCGAATATACTGAAATAGACTTTTTCTTTTTGGCAATGGTATCCTTTTAGCATTTACTTTACATTGTACTTTGAAATAATTAAATAACAATATCTACTATAATGAAAATTTTGACACCAACATTCACTTACCCTTATAGCCGTGACTTCAGTGCATAATCTTCATTCATAGAGCAAAGACAATCACTAAATTCTTGTTGCATTTCTGTAACAAGACAGTCGAGTACAGTCAATCGAATTAAATCCTAACAACATTCCACCTTATCAATACGTAGCGTTAAAAATAGATCGCAAAAATTTTCCATTGCGATGCATCACTGGTCGCTGTTCAATCTTCTTCTATTTGCATTTAGAATACATAGCCGTTCATAAAATATATGAAAAGAATAAAAGACACTATGTCTTTTATTTATAAATGATCAGATCTAAAGGGAGTTCCTCCTTTTTTTTAAACAAAAACATCCATTGTCGAAATAAAGCCTTGTCGGTTTATTTAGGAAACATCATTTAAGTACATTTTAAACAACTATAATATTATATTTTGTGTTTTGAGGATAATTTACAAGTATCTTTAGGTCACAGCTGGTGGATACCAGATAATTTGTTAGATAAAGCCGTAAAGACTCTCGTCAAGTATTAAGAAAGGAGTACAAAGCGAAGTTGAAAAAGGCGGACTTTTAAAGACTTTGCTTCAGACAGTTCACTAACTTGAATTTAATTTCGATCACAATTAAGCCCTTGTAATTTTATTCTCAAAACTGTAAAGTTTTTTCTGTATATAAAGAGAGATTTATTTTTGACTAAATAATTATTCAATTGTGCTCGATGTATTAAATCACTAAAAAAGAACCTTTACAAAAAGAACTTTGGCCTAATGCATTAAATCTAGGTTTTATTTCGGGAATTAAATAATTTGAAATAAAAATCAAACGAACGAAATTGTTGTTTATAATGTATACTTAAAATAACCCGGACCTTCCTTAATATATTAATGAAAGATAATATTTTAAACCCAATCGTTTTGGCCGGATACGATAATTTACTCGAATAGAAGTAAGTATTAAGTATATAATTTAAATTTTCATTCGTTATTTATGTAATAAAAGTGACGTCAGTTTATATCCGGCACTTCAACGAAATGTGCGCCAAATACGTTCAAAACATTCCATCGTTCTCGAATCAATCAAACTTTATCGTCTGTATGGAATGTTAAATTAACATTACCATTCATTATTATAAGAATACAATTCATGTGGCTCAACCTGATTACCTTCTTGCAGATCAAGAAATATGATAAGTCAAAGAGATACCGAAGTACAGAATCAGAGAGAGGGCAATTTTATTACACCTATACAATTTACAACTTACAATAAAAAAGCTCAATTATGATCTTATAAGAATGATGTTCAACAGCATCTAAAGTGCTTTGTAATTTCTGGTTTTGTTCTGTCGTGTCGATGTCACAAGCCTCTGACATTGGCTCTCGTCCAAACCTTGGTAGTTCAGGTTGGGTTCGCACTTAGCTCATTTCTATAAACCTACTATTTCTGTACAATTGCTAGTACAGATACTATTAATTCTTTGATAGAGCGGTTTATGAAATGAATGCGTTGTTCACAAATGAAAGAAATTGTAAATTGGAAATCATTTGGTGATATTATCAATTGTGACGTATTTCTTGCTTATGATATATTTTTTAAATTCATCTTTAATTAGTTTTATCTACTTTAAGTCTAACAATTTTCTGATTATTATTTACCTATTCATTCTGGTGTACTGTAATGTATTCGAGCTTCGATTTCGGTAAGTCCTCGTTTGAATATATTGAGGTGTATCTGTAATTTACAAACCACTCCATATTGGCTCTATTCCAGACACTATTAACGTACCTATTGTTTGTTTTGTGGCTACTATACAAGAGTACGAGTACGTATCGTCTTTCTTTGCGGCCTACCCTTGGGGGCCTTTTCGTCGGAAGCTCCAGATTCCGTCGCTGCCTCTGTCGCCGAAGTGGTTCTGCAGGGCATGGAACTCTTTATTCCATTTTCTGCGGTGCCGATCGGTGGCAAGTCTCAGCCCTGGTTTAAACGTTCTTGCAAGGCGGCCTCGTGCCGAAAGCGAGAATGCTTTAAGGCATGGGCGGAAGCGGCGAAATCTCGTGATGCCAATACCAGCGAACTTAAAAAAGCATATAACTCAGCCTCCAGGTCCTTCAAACGGGAAATAACTAAGGCAAAGTCAGAGCACAATGCCAGATTTGGCGAGAGATTGGCCCAGGGGACAGCACAGGGGATACTCTTTACACTGGCCGGGCAGGTATTTCTCGGGCAGTTGTCGATGAATACCGGAACAAACTTGTGTCTGAATTCGAAACTCTACTACGTGGAGTCTCAGACTGGGGCAGACTAAACCTAGTCCTGCTCTTTTCGAAAACACTCTTCTTAAAGCCACAGCCAGCATTGGAATACTTGGCGTTGACATATCGAACGACGTTCAGTTTCGCGGTCACTTGGAGGGAAAGGCTAAATTAGCCTCCAAAAAGCTTGGTGTGCTCAGCAAGGCGAGACGGTACTTCACTCCGGGCCACCGCATGCAACTATATAAAGCGCAAATTCGGCCCCACATGGAGTACTGCTCTCACCTCTGGGCGGGGGCTCCCCAGTACCAACTCCTTCCACTTGACCGTATTCAACGCAGAGCGGTTCGAATCGTCGACGACCAATCCCTCTCCGAGCGGCTTGATCCTTTGGCGTTGCGTAGAGATGTGGGGTCACTCTGCATCTTCTACCGCATTTACCATGGAGAGTGTTCAGAGGAGTTGTTCGGATTAATACCTGCAGCTGAGTTTCGTCATCGGACGTCGAGGCAGAGTACGAAATACCACCCGTATCACCTCGACGTCCGCCGTTCCACAACTGAGCGTTTTTCAAGGCAGTTTTTGCCGCGCACCACCACTTTGTGGAACCAGCTGCCCACTGAAGTATTTCCGAACCAATTCGACTTAGGGTCCTTCAAGAAAAGAGCGTACCAATTCTTGAAAGGCCGGCAACGCACTCGCGAGCCCTCTGGCATTGAGAGTGTAAATGGGCGGCGGTATCACTTAACATCAGGTGAGCCTCCTGCCCGTTTGCCCCCTGTTCTATAAAAAAAAAAACGTATTTATAGAGGTAAACCTGCCTATATCGGGTAAACATAGAATCTGACTTATATACATAATAGCAATTTTCAATCTCCGTATATTTTCACTTATCATCGTCTAACTTCTCAATTGTCAAGTTTTAAATTTTAACATACATATACTCTTTTTTTATAATAATATTTAAGGTAAAATTCTTAAACAAAAATAATATATTAGGTCCTTACATATGAAATTGGCGTTTTGTATGGGAGGAACAAAAAGTCGAATATTTTTAAATATAATATATTTAATTAATCAAAGTATGAACCATTGTTTTCTATGCACTCTTGCCATCTCATAGGTAGTTCATTGATCCCTTTACTAAAAAAACCAGTCGGACGGGAATCAATAAAATCTGTGAAGGCGATTCGGACTGCCCCATCAGAGTTAAATTTTTTCCCTTGCAAGAAGTTGTCCGAATTTCGAAAAAAATGGTAATCTGTGGAGCAAGGTCCGGGGAGTACGGAGGATGTCTTAGACATTCCAATTGAAGCTCTTCTAATTTGGTAGCCGTCTGTTGTGTAGTGTGTGGTCTAGCGTTGTCGTGAAGTAGCAGTGGTGTGGAGCAATTGACCAGCCTAGGTTGTTTAGCCGCTAGCTTTTCCATCATGGTTTGCAATTGCTGACAATAGACATCAGCCGTAATAGTCTGGCCAGATTTGAGAAAACTGCAATGAACAATACCGGCACTAGTCCACCAAACGCTTACAAGTAACTTTTTTGGGGTTAATTTTCGCTTGGGGCAGGATTTGGCTGGCTGGCCAGGATCCAACCATTGCGCTGAGCATTTCCGAGTATCGTAAAGAATCCATTTTTCATCACAGGTAATGATTCGGTTTAAAATACCTTCATTATTGTGCCGGTTCAGTAATGTAACGCAGCAGTCGACGCGCGTTTGCCGGTTTGCTTCAGTCAATTCGTGAGGTACCCATCTTTCAAGCTTTTTAATCTTCCCAATTTGCTTCAAGTGAATTAAAACAGTTTTATCACTAACACCGCAGCCTGCAGCTTACTCGGACGTGGTTTGCGATGGATCCGCTTCCACAATAGCCTTCAATACTTCATTATCAACTTGGGTCTCAGGCTGTCCACGGGGCTTGTTCTGCAGGTCGAAATTTCCAGAACGAAAACGTTGGAACCAAAAACGAACTGTGTTATCTTTTGCAACATGACCGCCATACACATCATTCACCCTGCGAGTCGTTTCCGCAGCACTAGTGCCACGGCGGAACTCGTACTCGTAAATAATGCGATACTTTAAGTTTTCCATTTTGTAAAATGAGTGACGCAAACACAAAAAAAACAGAAGAAAAAAACAAATGAATGACGGTCATCGAAGCACAAATACATGAGTAAATAGCTGTACAAATTTTAATTTGGAATTCTTAACCAAAGAGGAGATATTTGAGGTCAAAGTGGCCAAAACGTAAAACGCCAATTTCATATGTAAGGACCTAATATCTATTATATATTTGAGTTTATTTTATATCTGAATTAAAGAATATTACACGACTGTTTCATTAATAACAACGAAAAAATGTTACTAAACATACAGACATTATATTTATATATTATATAAATGAAAACGCAATTTGTTCAATATACAAGCAATTACATCAATTACACTGAAAAGTAATCAATTGCTTTTCTCGCTTTGGATTGTTTCTTATTCACAGACATTAGGGGCCTATTTCACAGAAAAAGTTTACAACATTGTAAGCCGGGTAGCTTTCATAATTGTCATCGTACGTACACGCCGGAAATCGTGTTTCCGCACTACATCCGGAAACTGTGCCTACGGATTTCAATTCCAAGAATTATTTTAACTTACGATGAATGTTTTTTGACATGACATTATATATTCACATTTACGCTTAAGAAGCGGAGGAATGTAGCTAATTTTTAGAAATAAAATCACTTGTCGTCATGATATGTATTATACGTACGTACTTTTTATATATACGGAATATTTTTTAAAGCGAGGTGGCATATTATTTAATTATATTTAGTCGTCTCTAAAAACCTATATTGACATTCGCGTCCGCAGTCCCTTGTGTAATCAGAATCAAAACAAGAAACCTTTCACTCCCCGAGGCCTTAGTTCTATAGAAGTTTTAAAACTCCGCAAAAGTAAAATGAAACTTGAGATTGCGCAAAAACTTAACCGTTTGATATTACTTTGTGAAACTTGTTGTTATTACTTTTTAAATAATATAAACCGAATTCGACTACAAATTTACTTAGATTTCTTCTTAACCAGCACAATTTAACTTAAAATAGAACGTAAAATAAAGCTTTTTATTTTATATTAAATTATTGACTTTATCACAGGGAAGACCTTTTGATCCCTCAGTTTATATTTATCAAATACAATTTAAACTACGCTCTTATTTAGTCATTGAATGTCGTAATTAAGAAACTTCTAACAAACAAGATACGTTCAGGTTAAACAAAACGATCAAATTAACCACAAAATGGGGTAAAGTTGTTAGTAATGATTCGACTTCAAATGCTTTGAACTATGTAAAATAATTATTGAAACGAATTGTGAAAATACCTCAGATGTCCATCAATATTTAAGGCATATGAGAACACTGTTAACTAATGTCTTCTTATAATTACTAGCCGTGGTAGTTATCCTCTACATCAGTCAGCTCAAATTATCTTTTAAGTAATCATAGACGTTAGTTTGCAAAGTCTCTAAGTATTTAAAAATAAATTATGCCAATTGTTAAAAGAAAAATTCTAGAATACATATATTGTTATAGTATTGACTAATACTATAACAATACTTTGATATCATATTGCTGAGCAAAATGATATGTAATGCTACTTGAAAAATTTGCTGGATATTAGATAATTCATTAAAATCATAGATTAGCTAATCCTTGAGGGTTGTAACGGAGATGAATGTTTTGCAACAGTTAATTTAGTAAATACTAAGATTAATATTAAAGCTATTAACAGTAAGCTTTAGGCAATACGAGACGGTTTACAATTTAGCTGCGGGCTCTTTAATTAAGGCGGCAAGGGCCTTTGTTCGTTAATTGTTATTTTTACTCATCGTCTGTCTAACCCCGACGCCTTGGAACGACTTGGAACTTCGAATTAACATCTTTTGATGAAGAAGATCGGTTCTCTGTTTTATACAAGTTGCACTGAGCCACTTTTATATGACTGCATTAGATGGGACAAGTTAAATTAGTAAAATTACTTAATGTAAAATATGCCAATAGTTATAAACATTGTTGCGGGTTTTTGTATATATTTAGTTTATGCGCGCTACCATTAGATGCGCCACCTGTAGCTATGTACTCGGTACATTAATTTTATTTTGACTCAAAA